TGCCGCCGCGGAGCGGACCGAGGCGGCCAGGAGCGCAGCGGGGCTCCGACTTCCCGACCGCCCTCTCAGCCGCAAAGACCGCAGGGCAGCGCCCACGACCCGGAAGTGCTCACGGAACCTGGAAGGGACTTCGGGCGGATGGCGGGAGGCCCCGCCCACCACTGCTCTCGCACGCCAAGCAAGCCCGCAGCGGGAAGGACGGGGCGTGCGGCTCAAAGCCTGCAGCCAAGGGGGTTGAGTCCTGGAGAATTCGCCAGGCTCTCCAAATCGTTATTAAGGAAATTACAATTTTGGGACTACACTTCTCCTGTCAGATGTACAATTTAGGATACGTAGGGCACTCGCATTGCATGCCTGAAGTGTGTTCGGGGCAATACTGTTGAAGACCCTGCAATACTAAATTGAAGATGGATGCTGGAAAGATTATAGTGGGATATACTGTTTGCCAAAATAGAGCTGCAATTATTTTAGGCCTGCAAGCGTATAGTTTGTGATTGATTCATGAAGAATGTTAATCTGGGAGAATCTGTATATAAAATATGTGCCTGATATGCATGACACATTCGGCTATATATTTCAAGTATGAACAGTCCCAAACTGTTTCGAGTGTCAGGGTACGTGGTAGCCTAACTGGATTAAACACAGCAGTAATGTGTAGAGCAGCTTGTCATTAAGCAGCTGAATAGTGATTAAGAAGTAGTTGCAAGAAAAGTGCTGCCAAAATGGAACCTCCGAGCAGCCTATGGAATAAGGAAGTTCTCATTTACACACCGTTTTCATTTTCAGTGACTTAGGATTTTTTTTTTTTTTTTGAGTTGGAGTCTCACTCTGTCGCCCAGACTGGAGTGCAGTGGCCGCTCCCGGCCACCGCAGCCTCGACCTGCCAGGCTCCGGCGATCCTTCCGCCTCAGCCTTCCAAGTAGCCGGAATTACAGGCATGCGCTACCACGCCCGGCTGATTTTTTGATTTTTTTTTATTGTAGAGATGAGGTCTCGCTGCCCAGGCGGGTCTCGAACCCGCGGGTTCAGGCAATCCACTCATCCTTGAATTCCCCACTACTTAAAAAAATTCTAGACTATGAAATACAAAGCCTCATTATAGTTTGGATGTTAAAATAATTAAGACAGGTTGAACTCTTTACCCTCCAAAGAACAGTATGCACACAGTCAATAAAGAAAGGAGTAAAGGCCTGAAATTATTTGAAAGAATTATAATTCAGAGCAAAAATTTAGTAGCACAATGATAGAAACGTGATAAAATGAGGCAAAAACAAACTTTCCAATTAATTTATTTAAATTCATTAACGTTGCAAAAATATGTGCAACAAATCAAGACACAGTTGTTGTATTCCTAGCAGGTCAAAGGAAAATAAAATATTACATCTCCCTAGTAAATCATGACCAACCCTAGTATTTCTTATGGGGACCACATCAACATCTTGCACACACAGACATCAGAACTGAATTACTTGCACTGCAAAAAGAGTACTAGGCTAGGCAACATTATCCTAAGAGTAGTAAAATGATCACAGTACATTAATTTTGTCTAAATGACAGCATGTGAACCTACGGTAACAAAAATATCTTTGAAACATATATCAAAGTGCGTTAGTGTCTAACAAACTCTGTGTCGTGTTCTGTGTGAATGGTGCAAGGGCTCTGCAGGTTAGTGGCCCTGAACACCACCAATATTTGCTAGCTATGTTTATGTAAATTAACAACTGAGCAGCTGTTAAAAGAACACGAAACTTTAGAAAGTCCATATACAAAAAGTGCAGTGGAGTAGCTGATGTCATTTTCCAAGTTCCTCTTTAGCTGAACTGCAGGTGAAGATGCTTAAAAATTTCAAAATGCAAATGCTTTAACTTCTTGTAGGATGTCTTAGATTAGAATCATCTATTTGAAACAAATAGTTTAATACCATTCTTTATTAACCTGTAAGCACTGAACTCTTGATTTTCATCTGGAGCTTGATTTACTAAGTGCCTTATATAAATTTTTCATTAGCATTTTAAAATTAGTTCTCAAAACATAAGAAATTAAGTAGCTCTATTATAAATAGTTGCAACAAATTTTTCTATTCAAATATCAGTGTCAGGGGGGACACACTTCATCAGCAAGGTTACTTGCACAATGAATACTTGTACACCTAATCCTGAATTGTGCCCCACAATTTTAAAATAAAAATCATTGAAATAAATTTTTTTAAAATTAAAAAAAAAACAACCAAGTATCAGTGTCACTCCTTACTGTTCAACATACTATGTTACAATATCTTCAATCACCATTTAGAATTTTAAAGAAAAGTTACTTGGTCTCACCATTGATCTGATTCTAAATTCATTTAGAATCTCAGGAAGAAGAAAGGGAGACCAAGGCTTACTAGGTAATTCTTTTGTACTCACTTAGAACACCAAGTAGACAATACCCCACTTTCCTCATCAGTTAGCCTTCCCATGCAAGTCCAAGTTCTTGGCTCTTTCTCCCAGCAACTCAAACTACTCACTTCCTACTCCCTATGACAAGACAGATGATTTAACAGGAAAATGGGCCTAACTTGTTAAGTTATTCCTCTTTTTGCTCCATCCCTCTGAGATTTGTTTGTGATCCATTTCTCAAATGTCCATATAGGATGGGGAAGAAAACAGGCATGAAAACAAAACAGAATGGTGTAGCAATCTCTATTTTCAGCCTATTTCCTACTCCCCTGATGAACAATGCTAAATTGTCCATATATAACACAAGCAAAGGAAGGGAGACGCTACTGTCACCACACACACATCCCTACCCACCTCATCATGAAACTGGCCTGCTGTAACTGATGTATCCTAATGCTAATGTATCAACTGATGAAATCTAAAGAGCCACATCTGCATTAAATCAAACAATTTCCAAAGTCCCTGAGCATTCACATAAACAGCCAAACAGAAATGCTAGTCATTTTTAAAAAGTCTCTATCAAAAAGCAGGTCCCTTATCTTTTTAAATTCTGGAACTGCAGCTACAGACATATGAGTACACTTGACAATCAGACTTCAGTATTCAGTGCAGTTACTAGAGATGTCCGTTTTGGAAGACTACATTAATGTTTCATCAACAGTGAAATATGAAAAAACAGCCCAATCCTAAGCTTTAACAAAACACCGTCACTGCTATCCTTCTCTGTTCAAACTTGCTTTTGTATGCAGAGACAAAAAAAGCAGAGATACCAGGAATTCTCATCCTAGGTATGTTTTATCAGCCTTTTTCACTTCAAACCAGGCTTCTTATTCACATATTCCATGTGTAGACTGCAGGTTTTCCTCCTGGAAGAAATGGCACTAAGCAGCTGCCATATATAGTAATTCCTTTAAGAGCGACACTCAGTGGCATTTAGATAGCTGCTAAATCTTTATACCTTTATAAAAGTTTCTTTTCTCTTACTTTGCTTTATCCTCCTTTCCAACTACTCTGTTAGACCCTACTTAGAATCATAACTCACTCTGAGTTAAAGTCTATTAAGCTTAAACTGTGATATCAATATGGTGCCTTGGTGCCTGATTAGGAATATGATCAAGCAGAACACAGAATCAAATTACTTCATATGAAAAACTTTTGACTAAAAAAGGGGAACTCAGGGCCTATGTGTAACAAAAAGTAGTGATGGAAGCACCAAATTAATGCAGTTAAGTTAGGTCCATGACCCCAGCAGAAAGATGAAAAAGTATTTACATGTACTTTTTAATCAATAATAGAAAATAAAAAATTTGATAACATGGGAAAGTGTTACATAGGTATAAATTAGAAATAACAAACACTTCTCCTCTAACCTACTAGTTATGATATTAAGTCTTATAAAACATTTATTGTGGGGACACTCCTGTATTAGATTCCACTAAGGTGTAGTTAAAGCAGGTATTGAATCTAGTGATTCACAGAACATCCCTTTCGTTATATTCCAAGTGTTATCACTGTTCCCTCTGAATTTTAATGTTTAGTAGAATATTGTCTACTTCTAATTAAAAAAATTTTTTTAAAGAAAAACATTACTTTTGCAGCAAGCTGTATCTATAGCTAGGAACAACTGCAAAATCCAAAGTCAATAAACACAAAAAAATCTTGAAATTATTCTTTGTATTTTTAAAACTGAAGAACCGAGTATTTAATGTGGTAGAAAACCACCTGTTAAAAAGCTCAGCCCATTTTGAGCAAGATATAGAATACAGATGAAAGACTACTTAAAACGTTCTACAAATATAGAATCTAATCACAATTACATTCAATACAACCTTTTATTCATAATCCTCTTATAGTAAATTCAGAAGGAATGCCTAAATTGTTACTGTTAGTTTGCTTCTTTAACAAAAAGTGTTTCTAAGATGTAAGCAAGCAACAATGATTTTGGCTTAATTCACTGTAAGGACATTAGTTCAGGATCTGCATAGAGCTCCTGGATCCAAGTCAAGTCAGGAGGCTGGTAAGGAATGTCTCATCCAGGGAATCCCCCAGCATCTCCCATAATTAGATGTAAGATAGCATGTCATGGCTATGACTGAGGCGGACAAAAAGTAAAGAAAAAATTCCCTTTTTTTTTTACAGAAACCTTACACTAAAAAATGGCAATAGTAACATGTGTTCACTGCAGGATAGAATGAATCCTAAAAGGTTAGCTCACATCCACTTTGTACTGCTCTACGCCACTCTTTTATAAAATATCTTACAGAAAGGACTGGAGAGCAGTGTGACCTTAAACTTGGAGGGTATTATGTTTATGAAATGTGTATGAGTCTTTCAAGTATAAGACACAAAATTATATCATCTGTTATTTTACAATGATTCTGTGGGTAATTAAGCTCCATTTGGAGACCCAAGCACAATTTATTTTAATGTAAAGATACTTACCAAATGACACAGTTTATATGCTTATATCAAATGTGTCATCCAAAACAGCACAATATAATCATGCTCTGAGACTTACAAAATTAACCTTCTTTATGCTATTATCAAACGTGATTTAACAGAAACCTGAAAACACACCATATCTAACTAGGTAAAAAAAACTACTGAGTTCAAATAACTGATATGGAAGTATCTTGGTAAAGTGCCCACAGTGAGAGCAATTTAAAAAGTACAGTTAACGTTGTGTCAGAGTGTAACTCATCACATTCTCTGCAATACTACACAGCACTCACACATTCAGGGGAGCAATACCCTAACATACAGCTTATTTCACATTGGTGAACAAACTCAAGATTTGTATAAAGTTCTGACTCTAGGCCAGAAAATAAAATGTCACATATATACATCTTTACAAACCCTAATTCCTAGTCTCTTAAATGCTCTGGTTCTAAAAATGGCTTTTTAAAAAGACTTGTCTTTATGTTTCAAAAGGAAACTGTGTGCAATGCACTTGCATTTGCGCTTCTGAATTAAGTAACAATATACATCAAGTAAGAAAACATCTTGGGATGGTACTAATCTACTTAGATTATGTACATGATCTTTGGGTATTCATGAGAATCAGTTTAACTGTCCACTCTCTTGTAAGCAACCTAATTTTCTAAGTTACCTAGGAAATGTATTTAACCATTTATAAAAACAAATATTCTAATATGCACTTTATAAAATCATGGTCTTATTTACCTGCATATTCTTCCACAAGACAGGTACACATGAAAAAACATTGCTCAAAAACATAAAAATATATATTATTTCTTTCCTTTGCCATTTATGCATATAAATATTTTACTGAAGAAGGTGTATCATTCAATTAACAAATGCAAAAGTTGCTTTATATAAAGTGTGGTTCTCTGCTATTTAGCAATATAAAATGATCACAATATAGTTAGCTATTAAAGAGCTAAATTCAAGAGATTTGCAAACCAATACAGCAGTGAACAGTCCCTTGTACAAAAGTCCATTACGAAAATGTCAAGTCAATTTTGTAACAGTTTACATAAAAATATGCGCCACCAATAAATGCAAAAAAGATCATCGCTTCATCAGCACATTCTTCAGTCTTGTTTGGACTAGATGCCAAACTTACTGTTCACTTTTCGGTTCATCTTGTTTTCCATTAAGCTCTTGATCAACTCTGTTTAATGAAAAATATACAAATAAGACACTAGCAACTGAAAATTTTCTTTCTGAAAATAATGACCATTTTAGCATAGAATATTATTCTGTTAAAAATAAAGCTTTGCAAAGAAGCAGATATAGTAAAAAAGGTATCAAACATTATTTCCCCAACCAGAAAAGAGAATTTTTAAAGGCAGGACACTGGCAAGAAATGTAACTGTTGTACTTTACATACAAATGCACATAAACTGTCTTAAAAATTCAAATTACACAACATATTGAAATGTGGACTTGTAGCTTGGCTTTGGCAGGGATCTAAGTGCTAAGAGAGTGGTAGCAAAAACAACTCCCTCAAAAATGATTTTGTTAACCAAAATATGAAAGAGCCACTAGTGCCGCCAACTGATTAATTAATATTTTAAAATCCACTGATAAAAATGCGTATTTACAAAAATCATAATCGTTCTCCAAAATATATTCGTACACTTAGTCTGTGAATGCCTTAAACTTATTTTGATGGTATGAAACCCTAAGAATTTAAATTCAGAAATATCTAAATGTAGATTAAAAAATCTACTCTAGGCTGGACACAGTGGCTCACACTTGTAATTCCGGCATTTTGGGAAGCCAGGGTGGGAGGATCACTTGAGCCTAGGAATATGAGACCAGCTGAGGCAACATAGTGAGGCCATGTCTCCACCCAAAAAAAAAAAAAAAAAAAATTAGCCAGGCGTGGTATGTGCCTCTGTAGTCCCAGCTACTTAGGAGGCTGAGGGAGGATTGTCTGAGCCCAGGAGGTAGAGGCTGTAGTGAGTCATGATCATGATACTGCACTACAGTCTGGGTCACAGAGTGAGACCTCAACTCAAACAAAAAAAACTAATCAGATTAGTGGTGGGTTGGACAGTGGTAACATATCAAAATTTAGGCACATGGGGATTAGATGAATCACATTATTACCACACAATAGTTATAGACAAGACTTCAAAGAACATACAATAGTCTATATTACTATTGTATTTGTAGCAGTTTGAGTAACTTATGTGGGGATATTTAGAACAATCCAGTTTGATATAGGGGGACACCTATTACACATTTCCATTACTATGATCACCTGAACATTCACACCTAAAAGCCTTGGTCTGTGAGCCAGAGCAAGATTTTAAAATATTATTAATAGCTATAAAAACTTTGAAAGGTATATATTCCTGATAAGCATGCAGAGCATATCCAGTCCTTTCAATATCTGAAATATCTTTGTAAACAAATATCATAATTAGTTTTAAACTACATTGAGAAATTTTAACAATCTGTATCTGCCTGCTCACACTTGTGCTGTGTTATTTGAAAGAAATATCCAAAACATTTAAAACTGCTATCCCTTTGCTACAATTATGAGACCAGGAAGATCCTGGCTCAGCTGACATGTTGGATCCCACTGTCCTCAGGATTTCTTTTCTGATTTCTCCTCCTCACAAGCCCAACAATATAGTCGTTTGGTCCCTTGCCCCTCAAAAACCTGCTATATGTCAAGACTTAATAGTTTTGTATTCTCCTTAGCATCTTTACTTACTTATCGTGAAGATGTCACCTTAAGTAAGCCCCCTCACACCTAATGTCTGCAAGGTTTGGTTTTAAAAAAATGTAATTAAATTTAATCACTTTCAGCCGGGCTCGGTGGCTCAGTCTGTAATCCCGTGCCTTGGGAGGCTGAGATGAGTGGATTGCCTGAGCCCGTGGGTTCGAGACCCGTCCAGGCAACTTGGCGAGACCTCATCTCTACAATAAATCAAAAATTAGCCAGGTGTGGTAACGCACGCCTGTAGTTCCAGCTACTTGGAAGGCTGAGGCGGCAGGATCGCCGGCGCCCAGCAGGTCAAGGCTGCAGTGGCTGGGAGCAGCCACTGCACTCCAGTCTGGGAAACAGAGTGAGACTCCAACTCAAAAAAAAAAAAAAAAATTTAATCACTTTCAAACTGAAAGAATTTATTATAAGACTAACGAAACTGTTTTAAAAACTAAGAAGTGCCTGAAAAGATATATATAATGATTATATTTAAGGTTAAACAGAAAATTGTTTTAAAAATCAAGATAAAATAGTAGTGACAGGTCTCATACATTTAAATAAAATGTACAAATTCCACTTTTTTCCTAATGTCTAAATTACTGCTAGACACTACTGAGAACTTTCTAAAAAGGCATAATACGGCACATTTCATCAACAAAGCCAATTCATTCTGAGATCCATGAAGTAGCTGGCTTCAAAATATTCTACAATTACAGATTATATTTTTAATTTCAGCCACAACAAGGCCTAGGAAAGGAATGTGAAATCAGCATGATCTAAAACCACCGTCGACATCTCTGTTAAAGGGCTGGTTAAGCTGTAAAGTGTCATACAGAAATGTCAAACTGTGATTCTATCACATGGCCTACTGAATTCTGACTCACTGACGGTGCCAGAATGTGTTCAAAGGCAAAGTTTCAGTTCCAGTTGGTTCCAGCTGGTTCCTTAGAATGATCAAAATGATAACTGCATATAATTTCCCACCTTAACTCTTAAGACAGATTGAATTAAATCATATTTTGCTAGCTGAGTTGTCAATGTTTTAAAAATATACTAACAAATTAGATCCAGACTCTACATTTTTCTAAATTACTATATAAAATTCTAACTATTTTATACCCTTGCCTTTCATCGTCTATGCCAAGGTATTAATAGATAACAGTTTGTTATGCTCAAAGTAGAAGTGTTCAAAATTACACTTAAAAGAGAAAGCAGAGTGCTTAACTGTTAAACGGGAGGTATACTGAAATTTTAAGAATTTTATTACATGTAGAATTTGACTGGTTAGCAAGCCATTTAAGCATTAATTTTATAGGAAATCAATGTTGGTTAGCCAAAGAATATATGCATTGCAAATATAATAATCAACCCCAAGAAATAAACTAATAACTTAAAGTTTGCATACATATTTCAAAAATCACAGGTTAGAAATTTAAAGAAAATGATGAAGCAGATTAAAGTCTTACAAATATTTGGTGCTCCAAATAGTAGTCTTCATAATTTTTCTGGTTTCACCATTAGTACTTAGACTAAAACTGGGAACGGTTTGTGGTTTTTAGTTCCTTACTGGTATTATACACAGAATTAACACAGAGTGAATCCAAGTCACAGTTAGCATAAGGAGCTTTGGATTCACCCTATATTTGAAAGTTGGGGTGTGTTTATATTTACAAATGCTATTATCTTTGTCTACAAGCTAACCAACCAATAAGGAAGAGTTAGTTTGTGCAGTGCAAATGGACTAGTCTAGATGCAACCCAGTCAAGGTGTGCATATACCTTTTTTGTTTCTTTTTAAACTTTTCTTCTTCATACCTTGGTAGGGAAGATTTATTTCCGTAAATATACATGTTATGAAGATGAACAAAAACTTGAGAAAAGGCACTAAAAGAACCTCATTTAAGTTTGCCAGCAAAACCCAAAAATATTTGTTACATGATGCGGAAAGTAAAAACTGACTTAATAAATCTGGCTTTGACACATTAAAGAGGCTAAAACTTCAGGTTAGCAGAACAAGGAAACTTTTCTACATGCATCATGACACTCAGGTATTTATGTTAACAGCATTCTATCAAGTCCTTCCAGAAGTTAGATGAAAGCAGGTGAACTGGATAAAAAGAACAAATTCTAGTCACTGGAAAATATTATGGCTACGCTGATTTAAATATTTTATTCTTTCTTTAGTAATATTATTGGACACCACAATAAGTATAATCAAATTTGGAGAGCACTATGTTCTAAAGTTTAGAGAATGTTCCTCAGTATTGACCAAGCAGGAAATCAATTTTTACATTGTAGCCAGTCTATAAAAATACAACATGAATCACAACCAAAACTCATTTCTCCTAGTTCTTCAACTAACAGTCTGAAGAAAATGTAGCTTAAGGGGACAGTGTGGGAAAATGGCTTCTTCCTCTTTTTCTTTGATACAAAGAAAAAAGAGTAGTTACACAATATTTATAATATATGAAGGAAGAATGAGTACTGAAAAGTTTTTACCTGTTGCACATAAAAATATAAAGATCAAATAAAATAAAATAAATAAAACAAAACATACTGTTTTATGCATTCTGGTATGCCAACATATTCCATAGGGACAAGTTCCGCTAGTTCTGCCAAATTAAAGACGTATCTAATTTTTTGGCTGAATTTTGAGCTACAAGAGAAAATAAAATAATTACTTCAATATCTCTAACAAACAGAACTGAGAAGAATTTGTTTGTTGTTTTTTTTTTTTATTTAAAAGAAATTGTTGGCTGGGCTTGGTGGCTCAGCTTGTAATCCCAGCACTTTGTGAAGCCGAGGCAAGTGGATTGCCTGAGCCCGCAGGTTCGAGACCAGTTCGGGCAACTTGGCAAGACCTCATCTCCACAATAAAATTTTAAAAATTAGCTAGGCATGGTAGCGTGCACCTGTAGTTCTGGTTACTTGGAAGGCTGAGGCCGAAGGATCACCAGAGCCCAGCAGGTCGACGCTGGGGTGGCCATGAGTGTGCCACTGCATTCTAGCCTGGATGACAGAGTGAGACTCCAACTCAAAAAAAAAAAAAAGAAATTTTTTAAAATGTCAATGGCATTTTGAATGACTACATCACAACCAAATGATAAATGTTTGAGGTGACCGATATGTTTACTATCCTGACGACTTGACCGTTATACACTGTATACACATATCAAAACATCACTCTGTATCCTTTAAGTATGCAATGTTACTTGTCAACTAAAAATTTTAAAAAGAAAAAGACAAACAAACAAGTCAATGGTTCTTGAAAATTACCTAATAAATGGTCTTGTAACAGCCAAAAGCGTTCTGATAAACCAAGAGGGATGTACAATGATTAGAGATTTTAGATTTTTCCGTAACCTGGAGTTAAAAAGAGACAAAGACAATTGAAAAATTGCTAAAAATTCTAATGCTAAAAGTTAAGATATCAGTAAGTATATTCAAGTTCATAAAAAATAATAATTGAAAAATCTCACCGAAGAGTTATCATTCAGGATTGATACTCTTAAAGATAAGAAAATGCACTCCTGGATTCTAAAGGTCCCTACCCCTGCTATGATGCTATGAAATGAACTTTACTTCATTCAGCCAAATTTTTCCATAGCACAGACTGTTATTAAATGTCTCCTAGCATATATTCACTTGTCTTCAGAACTCTATCAACCAGGGAAAGAGGTCAAAACTGAATATAAAAGTAAACTGTTTCATTTCTCAAAACCAGGGAGAAACTAGTGCTGATTTCTTCGATACCATGGAAGGTACTGTGCAGGCTAAAAGATGGGAGTGGAGCTGACTAATGGAGGAAACATGAATCATATCTAACTCCTATTCTTAAGGAATTGAAATGCTGATTAAAAATTAAAGGCATTATCCTAGACCTTTTCGTTTTGAATAACCAGATAAAAACTGTTAGTTTATCATGCATATTTAACAAATAAATACAGTGATCATTAAGGAGGGAGAGAGATATATACCTTAATCACAAGAGCTAGTCAGTGTCAAATTTAGATATGAAGAGAAACCTATTAATGGATCTGAGTTGATTAAACTAGTTCGAATTAGCTATGGCCAAATCAAATCAACTGGAAGATCAAATCCTTTCCATTAATTATTGATAACTAATTCCCAAGAGAATACGCTTCTAGAGCTTGCTGTAAAGAAAAATTAAAGCTAAACAAGCATCTTTAAGAAACATAAAACATGCTAAGCACTATAAATTGTGTAAAACTCAGAATGTAATAAGATAGAAGATGTACTATGTTCTCCATACTTTCCCAAGATATAGATTGTAAGAAAGTGTCCACTGTGGTATAAACAAAGAGAAATAGAGAAATATTTTATAAAGTTTGTTTGAGGAATCAAAGCTATTCTTTATAAAACAGATCAAAATTGATTTCCGGCATGACATTCTAAAATTACTATCTATAGAAAAGAGAAACCTGCTATGAAATTAACAAATGTAGTTTAAGAAGTGGATACATGGTTATCTTTAAGTGACAATGGAAAACAAAGCTTAATGTAATAAAGCCATTATAAAAATTACTCACACTAGCTTTCACCTTGTATTTACATTACCTTCTATCAATTTGCTGATAACATTTCCTGAGCCATCCCAGACTGGGCATTTTTCTTCGAGTTGTTGCACCATTTAAATAAACTATCATGTAGTTTTCTGCTACTAACAGCTCCAAAGTGCCAATAACATATCTGTAAAAACAAATTAAATTTAAGCCTTAAACATCACTATGGAGAACTGAACTAGGTTATCTAAATTATACAATTCCCTTCTCTACCCCCCAGTGAAAGCAAACACAATGAAAAATTTTAAATTGCATTAGCTACTATTAGGATTGTTTTTTTTTTTTAGAGATACATATTGAAATGTTGCTAGATGAAAGTGAAAGGACATGATGTCTGGGATTTTGCTTCAAATTATACAGTGGGGGGGGAGAAGTGGGAATGAAGTATAAACTGGAAATGGTTGAAGTGACTGACACATGAGGATTTGATACACTACTCTTTACTTTTGTATGTTTGAAACTTTCAACAATAAGATTTTTAAAAACTACGCTAACCTAAGAAACAAAATGACTGTGGAAATAGAAATGAACTGAGATAGCTCAGTTACCTTGAGTTTCTAGAGGTAAATGTAACTTAGCCAAATGTTTTGAGATAAAATCACTTCTTTACATTTAATGTGTCCAAAAATATAAAAGTAAAAAGTTAGAACCAATAATGTGAGGTGTATCTTCCAGTTTTAAAATGTCGATTTTTCTCTTGAGTTGGAAAGCTATAAATTCAGACTGCCAAATAAGGACTTAAAAGAATCAGAACTGCCGGGCTCGGTGGTTCAGCCTGTAATCCCGCGCCTTTGGGAGGCTGAGGTGAGTGGATTGCCTGAGCCCGTGGGTTCGAGACCCGCCTGGGCAGCAAGACCTCACCTCTACAATAAATCAAAAAATCAGCCGGGCGTGATAGCGCATGCCTGTAATTCTGGCTACTTGGAAGGATCGCCGGAGCCCAGCAAGTCGAGGCTGCGGTGGACGGGAGTGGCCACTGCACTCCAGTCTGGGTGACAGAGTGAGACTCCAACTCAAAAAAAAAAAAAAAAAGATCAGAACTGGGATACTTACAATTTTTACATAGCTTAAGTTCAATTTCTTAAGGCGAAGATCTAAGCTCAAAGTTCTGTCCAAACATTTTTGTTAAAATATACTTACTTAAAAAGATTGTCCATCAGGTATCTATAGTTAGGTTGACCACTTTCAGGCATAAAACAGACAGCAAACACAACAATGGCATTTAATCCATCCCCATAATATCCTGAAAAAGAAACCGAAGACAACATTACCTGAATGATTTTACCCTGAAAAATTTTTAGGGCACATCTCTATGATTGACAGATTATAAAAGTTTACCTTTTACAAATTTCTGGATCAAAAAGTATGTTTTTAAAAACTCATATGGTCTGAAACAGACCTTTAAATCTTCTCAAAAAGAGAATAGTAAAATTTAAGGAAGGTTGAGGGTAAAAAAACAAAACCACTTAAACTAGCATAATTTTCTGACATAATTTCCAGTGAAGAAAACGTGTTTAAAATGTGTGTTTCAATTGCTATCTTTGGATATTAAGCCTTTATCTAGTAACAAATACTTTTTGCTTTAACCTTCATTTCTATTGTTTCCACACTTGCACTGAAAAGACTTGAACATTTCAAGAACATTGGAATCTTTACTACCTTTCTTAATCCTTCAATAGGATAAGATGGCTTTATTTTCCCCTAAGAAAAATAAAGTGCTATTTCTGAAAAATAGGTTTAAATTGTGAAGGTCTTACAATTTGATTGTTATGCACTAGCTGAATTGGCTTATGTCTGTGGACGTCCTGATCCATGTTATCCTGTTTTCTTCATGTGAATAATATTAAGTTAGGCAGAAGAACGAATCTACAAACATCCATGTTATTTATTTTGATAAATGAAGACTGAAGAAATAAGTAGAATACATTTGCCAGAGAAAATTAAGTGGAAATGACTATGTGGCAAAAATCAATCTGTTTGATCCATGATCTGCTTGACCCATGTGCCTGTACTGTGTTAGAATTTAAGATAATATGACACACTTTACAGAGTGTGCTGTGTTCTGACTTACACTAACATTCTAGCATTATGTACACAGTGCCTAGGTAAATGTCTACATATAAGTGTACTCAGACTGAAAGGAGTTATAACTTGTATTTTCATAGCTTTTCCTATTTGACATATATATTTCTTAATGGAAGGAACTAAACCTTATATTTTTGTATACCACATAAATATGCAAAGTGGATGCTCCATAAAAATGTGAACTGCATTAGTTCTCTATTCAAAAGCTAAATGATTTATCCAGGGTTTTAAGGAAAATTAAGCATCACACTTTAAAAAGTTCAAGTTTTACTTATATTAACAAAAATACTTGTATACAAAAATTCAAAGTGGTTTTATTTATAATAGCTTAAAAGAGAAATAACTCACATGCCCCTAAAAAGGAGAATGGTATGCAAATCATGAATTATCCATGCAATAGACTACTGCACAGCAATAAGAAAGAATTAACTATGGATAAATGCAACAGCATAAATATCAAAAACTTCATGCCAAACAAAAAGTAGACAAAATAGCACATACTATATGATTGTAGTTATTGTTCATGAGATTCTAGAACAGACAAAACTAATCATCAAAATAGTGGTTACTGGAGGGAGGTATTCATTGGGAAGGGATATTAGAGAATTTTTCTGGAACAATAAAATGTTCTATATATTTACAGATGTGTTTTAAATATATTTTAAATATTTATATATATATATATAAATGAGTTTTGACAAATATCCATAAACCATATATACCCCTAACCCTAACCCTAGGGGTATATATGGTTTATGGACATTTGTCAAAACTCACTGAACTGTACACTAAAAATCAAAGCATTTTACTGTTTATAATAATTATAAATGAATACAAAGGAAAGAAAATACAGGTGGCCTAGGGATATGGGCAGCAGGGAGACAGTCTTGACTGCTTACTCTTTTGTACTTTTTGAACTTACTATTTGCATATATTAATAGTTTTTGAATGTTGGTCTTATTTTTTTTACTTCAAACCTGTAATGATCCTAAAATGAAATGAAAAATATTCTTTATTCTTTCAAAATTATGTAATATCTCTAGTGAGATTTTTGAAAAGCATTTAGATTTTTAACAATGCATTAAAACAACTAAACAATCTTCAGTAACTCTTACCTCCATGGCTGATGACTTTTTTATAGGGCTCAATCGCCTTCATATCAACCCTGTGGTCCTGTTCTCCAATCCTGAACATACGCCAGCGTCGTCCATCATCTTTTTCCTCTGCTGTTGTGTATTCTGTAATTGAGCCTTTCCTAATTATTTCAGTAGTCTTGGGTTTTGGAAGATCATCTGTCAAAATAAAAAGTTTTTGAATCACAAATTGTTATTTATAATAATAAAAATTAGATTATATGTTAACCACTTTACTATCTAGATTATATCATCTGTAGAATATGTTTAAGTATATCTTTCATAATTGAAGGAAAGGCTTGTTTTGTTTTTTTTTTTTGAGTTGGAGTCTCACTCCATCGCCCAGACTAGAGTGCAGTGGCCGCTCCCGGCCACCGCCGTCTCAACCCGCTGGGCTCCAGCGATCCTTCTGCCTCAGCCTTCCAAGGGCTTGCTTTTAACATGAGGCCATTGTATGTCTTTAGAAATCATGGTTAATTTTTTTATTGCCCAACTCAGCAAAACATTGAATCACTATTCAACGTTCACTCACAGGTTCAGAAGATAATACACATAGCCATCAAAATCTTAGTACGTTGGCCCTACAATGCCTTTCCAGGCTCAACCTTTAACACTGTCCCTGGTAGCTGTTATTATTGGTTACCTCAAGTAGCCATATGGGAGCCAGTATTTTGTTGTTGATGAACACATAAATTAATTCCCCATGTAATACTAGATAGAAAGTGGTTAACTACTCAATGATTACTTCTCATCTGATCAGTTTTATAAAGCAGAAGTTTATTTGCAATATTTTGAAGTACACATGCAAAAGTCTATTCCAATTAACATTAGCCAAAGTATAAGCACCAATGATTAGGTGTAATTTATGTTTCAAGATTGCAGTTTAGGTGATTTTTAAATGAAGCAATGATTTTCAAAATTTTAGTATCACAGTCCTTACCAAAAGATGGGGGAAGGGGAACCTACTGCATGTTAGTTGTTTCCAAGACAAAGCTGTTAACGGAAATTATCCTTCCAGGAAATGACTACAGCGGCATTAAAGAAAGAAGAGAAAACACACAGGCAGAAAACTATTTCAGTATCTTTATAAAATATTGCTTATCACTGGACTGCTAACTGACCCAGTAAATCAGGAAGAAGAAACAGGAAATATAGCCTATCATTCTTCACTACAGATCAAATACCTAATGCTAAATACTGCTTTAAAAAAACATTTTAAAGATGAAAAAATATACAAAAATTATTAACAACTATATAAAGATGCTGTAGACAACAATTATCTGATTTTAAAAAGCAAGCAAAATAAAGCACATGCTAATTCCTTTGGATGCTAAATAATTAGTGATAAGAAATATAAAGTTTGGGGGCTAAGAGTATACATTAATTTAAATTGATTATCTCACAAAGTAGAGCAATACCAGTAGGACTTATTTTAAAAATCATCCCTAAAAATCTCTTTTCGAAATTCCCTTTCCACAAACTTAGCTATTTTAGCAACATTCCCTAAATTACATGTTTCTTCAAACATTTTTTCTTAGCTGACTGACCGAAGAAGAGCATGTCATAATTATCAAGCAAAATGTTTCTAGCAACTATTAAAAAAAAAGTAACTTTACAGCACTGGGCAAATAGAGGGGGGAAAAAGCCCATTGGTATAATCTACACACAGTTTTGAAGACCACAAGAATATTCAAGTGTTAGGAGAATTTCAATATATGAACTTTAGAAATGATACTATATTTCAAACAAAATACCTTAATACATTGATTTTAGTCGGTTTCATGATCAAGTTTTAAGGTTTTCCAATTATCTTAATTTCCCTAATAAGGTTGCCACTGTAAAAACATGTATGTATACAAAGATAAACATTCATTAATAAAGATTAGACAAAAACAGTGAAACACTGAAACAATTACCTTCCCATTCAAACTCATTACTATTCTCTGATGGTGTGTCTAAGCCATCTAAGTCAATTTCCCCACTTTCATCCAAATCATCTGACAACACAGAGCCATCACTAGGATCCAGTGTCAGGCTAATGTCTGGAGCCATTAGTTTCTTTCTCACTTTATTCCCGTTAACTTCTAGTGAGCCTAGAATGGGAAAACAAAGAAAAAGATACGTAAGAAGGAATGCTTAGATGCTCAAGTTGAGTAAGAGAAAAATTACAACCACTTCATTATTGAGAAAAATAAAATTAATTAAACATCACGCCAAAGCAAACTTTACAAAATGTGGATTCTGATCACTACTGCTTCCACATCATTGGCAAGAGATCAATGAAGCAGCAATGTCTCTTAAATCAATGTTCAACTTATACTTTAGCTACCCATGATGGGATAAAAACTCTGCATTTTTTTTTCTTTTTTGGACAAAGAAATGTATCCAAAAATAATACACAATCCATCATTTCATTGAAAGTAAAACTGTCATGTTCTTACCAGGCGGGCTCTCTGGTCCAGTTACAGCTAGTATATCTGCTTCAATACTATCATCTTCTGGTAAAGGTCTAGAAGACATAAGCATATTTTTCAACCCAGAAAATAAATTTTAAAATATTTTTTGAAGTTCAGTCTATTAAAAACACCACTTACAGAAATGACTATGTGAAAAATGAAGTAAAGCAGTGCTTAAGCTTTAGTAACTTACAAAACACTTTTTTTTTGAGATGGGGTCTCACTCTTGCCAGGCTGGAGTGCAGTGGCATGATGCCAGCTCACTCACTGTATCCTCAACTTCCTGGGCTCAGGTGATCCTTCCACCTCAGCCTTCCAAGTAGCTGGATGACAGGCATGCACCACCATGCTCAGTTAATTTTTTGATTTTTTTTTTTTTGTAGAGGAGAGGTCTTGCTATGTGGCCCAGGGTGGTCTCGAACTCCTGGGCTCAAACATTCCTTTTGCCTCAGCCTCCCAAAGTGCTAGGATTATAGGCATGAGCCACCACGCCTGGCCCAAACCACTTTCTTTCTTTCTTTCTTTTTAAAGAGACTGTCACCACAAATTTCACTGTAACCTTGAACTCTTGGGCTCAAACAATCCTCCTACCTCAGCCTCCTACTAGCATGTGCCACCAAGCCTGGCTAATTCTTGTATTTTTTGTAAGGACAAAGCTGTTGCCCAGGGTGTTCTTGGAACTCCTGGTCTCAAGCAATCCTCCAGCCTCGGCCTCTCAAAGTGCTAGGATTACTTAGCCCACGCACACTTTTAAAGAAAACATTTTCAGACTGTGAGAGCCGACTTATACAAGCATATCATTAACACACGAAAGCAGATATAAACTCCTTGTGCAACAGCTCTTTTACAACTATAAAACACATGTAAAAACTTAAAGCAAACACAAAACAAATATAATTGAAATTTTAAATACAACGTGATACACGATGAAGCTGAATCTTACTAACAACAAGAATGAGAGTATAGAAACTATGACTACAATTCTTTTGAGCTAAGCATTCCTACATGACTATCACAATGTGTTACAATGACTCAATTCTCCTACTAGTCATCCATCTTCCAACTGCCAAGGCACCTGAATGTGCACTGGAATGTCTTCTGACCACCATGGCATGGAAGTATCATTTGAATTGAAGGTCTGCCTTTGTTCTTTTTTCATTAGCCCACCTGGTACCAATACAATTGTAAACACAAATGCAAATGTGTGAAGGTAGCCAGCCAGACGACCTAAAAAAAAATCCATGTTTACTTATCTATTAAGTTTTTTCTTGGGAAAAAAACCCACAGATTAAACCATTTTTACAAACGACTAAAGCCCCTCTTCTCTGATCTTAGTTTGAAAAATGTTGCATTCATGCATTGTTTATAAAAGCAAAAATTTTGAAACTTAAATGATCAAAACAAAAATGAAAGATTATAGAAGTTTACATATACATATTTGATTGGAAAGTAAGATAAAAGAGAATTATTCTAACTGTTTGAAAGGAACTTTCAGTTCTTAATATCAAATGATCACCTTGTAATACTGGGTTTCTTTAAGAAGCTCAATGTTCATTTAATAAGTAATATCTCAATAAAGAAAATTTGATGTTTGTTCTAAATTTGTTTTCAATTAAAAGCATTGCTCACATTGGAAAATCTTCATCTTGCCATTCTTCTTTAAGTTCCACACCTTCCATCCTTAGCCTGGATTCGATGTCAACTGCAAACTCCTGATAATCCAGAGAGCCAATGTTCTGCGAAGAAAGAAAAATTTATAGAAACTTAATTTCCACTTTACTTTCTATCTACCCAAAAGGTGCAATAATCTTATATCTTAGTTCTCACCTCCACCCTATCAACCATAGCTTTAGTGTAGTGGTCTGGACATGAAAACAATTTACAGAGTTGTAACTTTTTCGTTTTTAAAGAATTAAAATAGAAAATATTCAGAGAACATATATTCTAGTAAAGTAAGTACTGTTAGTAGTAAGGATACTGTTCAGTAAAAACACTTATTTTCAGTTGCAATAGAGTCTCAGACTGTGATAGTAAATGTTCTTTATAATAAATTCATAATTAACATTTCTGTCCTTTGGATAAAGGCTGATTCTAAAAAGTGAATACTAGTAATTAATATTTACTACTCTTATGATACAACAGAGCCAAGTGGTGTACTGTCATTTTTATTTCCTTCTCTGTAGCTTTAATGCCACAATTCCTTAGCCACTTATAGAAGTTTATTCAGTAACGTGTCCAGCAAATGAATTATGCTACCTTTTGATATTTTCTTATCTACATATACCATGCTTTCTCATATAGCATGGCATAAGTTTTCACACACTGAACTTGATGAATATCTGTTTATACAGCTACATATTATAACTTATCCCATGAACTTTAGTTATTCCAAGGAAGGATGTAGTGCCAATATTCTCATTTAACGAAATGATGAGTCTAAAGACACTCCCCCTTTGGTTGACAGAATGAGAAATAGTTAAGAATGGTATTTAAGAAGTCATGAAGATCAACCAGTTAACAAGGCAACAAAATAGCTAAAATGATAAGAGCAAGAGGCATAAATGAGTCTTTAGTTCACAAATTGGTAAGCCAATGGATGTCTAAAGTTATTTAAAAACAGCAGTAATATCTCTTAAGAGATATAAAGCATCACTAGAAGTACTAAAAACAAAGTTAAAAGTGTTGACAACAGTAGAAAGGAAAAGGAATAAGGAGAATGACTGATGTTTTTCATAGTAGTCCTTCTACACTACTTGATTTTTTAAAACTATGTACAACTTTAAAACTTATGTATCAGATAAAACAAATGATGCCAGCTATTTATACTCACATCAACTACTCTTCTGAAACAAAAATGTGGGTCATGACTTATGAATGCCTTACATGTCTTATGGTTGTCATTACAACAATCAAAAGATGCACAAAGTTATACAGAAAAAAAATTATGTTCTAGAACATCAAAATTACAATAAACAACAAAAGAGAAATTTCCTGAAGTGTTAGATTTCACATGGTAAACTAAATTTATAGCTCTGCCAAGACTGGAAGGCCATCCTCCCAGTTTGAATGTTTACATGTACTCAAGAGAAGACTTCAAACATTCCCAAAAGGCAAATATTTGAAGATCTACTTGTTAACATAGAAAAATAGGGCAGATACAGACTTTTCCTTACCAACTTATTTGCTGGGAAAGTCAGTTTATTTATATAGAAGTAAGGCATTTTTAATTTAGGGGGAAAACACTGAATCCGGCAATTTTGATAAATTAATAAAAAAGACTTAAGATACAGTAATCCTGTCGTAATTAGCAGTTTCTCTGCTTTTAATACATAATCTGTATTTTAAAGTAATTAACACACATCCTCAATGATCACTTTACAGATTGCTTTCTGATAGCAACCATTTCTCTCCATGGAGGGAAAAATGAACTAGTAGAAAAGAGCCCAGAATTACAGCCATCAAGCCCAAATGGTTAGTATTTATTATTCCAGGATTATGCTCAAGTGGGACAAAGTATTCTATCACTAAAGGCTGAAAATTGGCAGTTTCTTCTAGATTTTTTTAGTTCACTATACCTTTCAATGTTAAGTTTTCTTAAGTCTTTGGTTCTTACTTTAAAGTGAACAAATATATTTTCCTAAATCCAGTAACCAGAAAACCTTTCTATTATTTTTGTCTCAGCTTTTTTACTGTGTTGGAAAAAATACCAGGATGTTCTCTGGGTGTCTTTTTCAAATATCTGTCAAATATCCAGAAAAACACTTAATATTTCAAAAATAAATATAGTGACTGAAAGTTGCAACCAATATATTTCCAACACCTAGCACATAGTAGGCCTATGAAAATTAGTTAAATGAATAAATATTTAACTGTAAGGTATGACATAGCAAGCTTCTGCTCACCTCTTAGGCTTATTTTGCTTATTAAAATACACAAAAAAGATTTGTTATGTTTTACTCCACAAAAATATAATGAAAACATTGTGGGAACATATGCACATGCAACACGAATTTCTGTTGGTAAAATTATTCCTTAATTGTAAGAGGAAACACTTATCTTGGGAATTCTAAAAGACAAGCCATATCTTTCAGCTGCTTAACTGCTTGAACAAGTTTATCACTTGAAAAGAGCTCCTCTAAATACAAAGAGCCCAAGTCTTTCAGATCTCTCAGTCTACTTATTCTAATTTTACTTTACTATCATAATGAATATGTGATGTTAATACACCTCAGTATACGGACATCGATACTAGTTTGAGGATAATTAATTAAACTAGTTAAAAAGAATGTAAGAGAGACAAAGACAGATTCACGCAACTATTTTATCACAAATTTTAGGGGAAAAGCATACTTGGTAGATCAAAATAATTTAAACAATTGAGGGAGCGTTGTTCTTGGACGTACTTTATCATCAAGCAGCCCTAAGAATAGGAAACAAACAAGAAAGGAGTTAATATAAGCACAGCTACTTGGAAGGAAATCAGGATATTGCTGACTCATAAGCTAACTGTGGTTGTTTCCTATCATTTTAAAAATCAGAATGGGGAAGTAACACTTTAAGTTGCTATTTGTTAAAATAATGCAACAGGAGTACCCTGATTTCTCAATAGATTCGTGGTAGTTGTGGCACATACTTACTTATGCCAGTTATCTGTTGAGGTCATAAAAATGAACTAAAAATAGTGCTGACCCCTGGAGAGATTAACAATCTGAGATAACAAGGTTCCTCCTGACAGCTTTGGGGAAAGATGTGGTGGTAAGTCCAACCAGGATGAAGAAGGGGCTTTCCCCTTGCAGCTTAGCAGCATAAGCAAGAATTAAATATTAAGATCATATTTAGAGCTGTTTAAATTACAACTTATAATTTTACTATGGCAATTTTACTATTATGTAGTTTAACACAGCTGCTGGAATAGGTGCCAGTAACAACCATTTATGCTGAATCAATTATAGATGGCAGAAGGCAATGCACAGGAAAGCCTTTCACTTCCCCATTTCAACAAAATGGTTTCATTCTAAATATTTATGTTCACTTTTTAAACAAATAACCTGTATATTTAGGAAGATCCCCAAATATCCCTGGAAAAGTCCTATGCTTGCCTGTCTTTGCTTTCTTGAAGGTAGGGGCCATGTATGTTTTTATGAATGAAAAAAAGATGCTCTATTAGAAATGTCAACACAGGTCAGGCACAGTGGCTCATGCACGTAATCCCAACACTTTGGAAGGCAGAGACAAGAGGATTGCCTGAGCACAGGTATTTGAGGTAGACCTCATCTCTACAATAAATAAAAAAAATTAGCCGGGCTCTGAGGCTCAGCCTGTAATCCCGCGCTTTGGGAGGCTGAGGTGAGTGGATTGCCTGAGCCCGCAGGTTCGAGACCCACCTGGGCAACTTGAGACCTCATCTCTGAAATAAATCAAAAAATTAGCCAGGCGTGGTAGCGTGCGGCTGTAGTTCCAGCTACTTGGAAGGCTGAGCGAAAAGATCATTGGAGCCCAGCAGGTCGAGGCTGCGGTGGCCGGGAGCGTGCCATTGCACTCTAGTCTGGGCCACGGAGTGAGACTCCAACTCAAAAAAAAAAAAAAAAATTAGCTGGGAGTGGTGGCATGTTCCTGTGGTTCCAGCTACTTGGAAGGCTGAGGCGGAAGGATTGCCTGAGCCCAGCAGGCTGAGGCTGCAGTGGCTGTGAGCATGCTGCTGCACTCCAGCCTGGGCGACAGTGAGACTCTAACAACAAAAAAAAAAAAAAGAAGAGGAAAGAAATGTTAACACAAAATTTAAAGAAAAATTAGATTGGTGCTGACTCCTCTCCAAATTGTGAAAATAAAGGATATTTATATGCCATTATAAAAGTCACATTTATTAAACAACCACTATGCAGAACACACTATGTAGAACACATTGCCCTGAGACCTTTAAAAAGATGAAAGTCTAATAACTGATCTCCAACACTTTGTTGTAGAATTATAAATATTAGTTGTAATATAAAATGATGATTTTAGAATATTACTATCACTATATTATACTAGTCTTTTGCTTTACAGGATGTAAGTTTAACAAGACATCTTTCCATCCACTGTTAGCCTAAGTTAAGTTACTGGACCTAGCTATGTATACTTTCTTACTCAGATGACTGCCTCCCTTATTCTTCAAGGAAAAGCATTATTCCAGATAGAATAAACAGAACCACTTTTCCAGAGTGCTTGCCCATGTACGACCTTCTTTTACATTTATCACCTCATATGTTCCAATCAACAACCTTGTGAGGTGTTCAAGTACTTGAGTTATCACCCCATTTAGTCTTCTCTACAAGGCAATGACTGCACATCCTGGTCCCCAGATGCGGTCCGGAACTGTTTCTAGTACAGCACATTGTCTCCAGGTCACTGGCAACTTCATAGAGTGAGCCTCTAAGGCCTGATGTGGCCACACTTAGCTTCAAAGGTCCGGTAATACCTAAAGAGCCTAACAGCACTGATTCACGATAATCCATGTTTGCAGAAGTGGATCTGTTATAATTCCTGGCTAAGTCCAACAACATCAGGCTGCACTAAGAGAAGATGATGAAATCAGGAATACAGTCGGGCACGGTGGCTCACGCCCATCATCCCAGCACTTTGGGAGGCAGAGGCTAGAGCACTACCTGAGCCCAGGATTCAAGACCAGCCTGTGCAACTTGGTGAGACCTCGTCTCTACAATAAATCAAAAAATTAGCTGGGCGCTGTGGCGCATGCCCGTAGTTCCAGCTACTTGGAAGGCTGAGGTGGAAGGATCACCTGAGCCCAGCAGGTCTAGGCTGCGGTGGCCGTGAGTATGCCCTGGGCAACGGTGGACTCCTATTCAAAAAAGAAAGAAAGAAAGAATACAAGGAATAAAGTCTAGAAAAAAAGTAAAGGGACAAAAACCACGCAAGAACGTGAACAAGACAATCAACCAGTTACAATTTCAAGAAAAACGATCCCCCTACAAACGACAAAATTCTTCCTACAATTACAGACATTCCTATGAAACATTAGAAAACCAAGCATTAGCAGAAACACGATCAAGAGTGAACAAAAGCCACAGAGAACGCCACTAACTCAACGGGCGGAGGGCAGAAACGCCGTCCCCGGCGCCCCAAGCAGAGGCCCGAGCCCGTTTCCGACGGAAGGCGAGTCGATCCCGCGGCCCCCCAGAGCAAGAGAAGCGCCCGGGAAGCCCAAGCCATGCCGCCGGGCACTGAACGGAAGGGGCCCCGGGCAGGGTTAGCTGCCCGGAAGACCGAAGAGCGCCGACGGTCGAGGCTGCTTCCGCGCCCGCCCCCCGGGAGCAGGGGCGCAGCACCACCCGAGAGCCTTTGTTCTGCCTGGGACGGCGCCGGTCGGAAGCACTGGGCCGCCGCGGCCCGGTCACCGCCCCAGATCCGAGGGGGCTCCGTCCTCAGCGCGACTGGAACACGGAAAAGGGCGGGTGGGGTGCGACTGGCACACGCGGGTCGCCGCCCAACCG